CCAAAAACCCTGTTCATTGAAGTGTGCCATTACCATGAATGAAGATGAGAATAAGGAGAACTCCTTTGAGGTATTTAATTTAAAAAAAAAAAAGAAACTTGAAAACAGATGACATACATCTAGCACTGAAATTCCCTTGATAACTCTATTCTAGGGACCTCCAGGTTTTAGAGGAGATCAAGGACGTAAAGGATCAAAAGGTGATCCAGGATATGTATATCCAGAAGGGCCAAAAGGTGAGCAAGGAGATCCAGGAGTCAGCGGAGACAAAGGAAGAAGAGGTTCAAGTGGATTTTTGGGAAGACCTGGCTCTAAAGGATCCAAGGGTTCTAAAGGTGAAGAGGTGGGTATGCACTGTTTGCAGTTGATATGGAAGTCATGGAAGCAGAGTCAGTATTTTATCTTGTACAGCAATCTGTCTAATCTAAGCAGCTATTTCAGCTGAATATTCCCTACCTGACTGAGGGTACTGTGCTCAACTATAGCAACCAAAATGCCTCAAAGAATGAGAGGAAAGATTCTGATGTAGTACCAGAGAGAGATGAAGCCAGTGTAGGTACACCTTGCTGAAAAACCTCAGCAGTCCAAAGAGATGTTAGTTTGGATATTTATAATGGAGCATTTTGTTGGATTCCTGTAATCAAAAAGATCTTTTAAAAAAAGATGCTTTTCCTGACTACTTATAATGCTCCATAATTTAAGCACTTCCTGTTTGGTCTGTAAGGGTTAATCTTCAGTGAAGACTAACCATAAAACTAGAATCATTAGGACAGAGCACAGGAGAAACAAAAACTAGTAATTATTGTTGTGTTATGYTGGCAGAGAAACTGTTAACATAGTTCAGATGTAACTGTCTCTAAACCTGACTCCACATTATTCAAGGAGAATTAGAGCTGAGATGGGGTTTTTGCCAGGTTTTAAAACAAGAAAAGTATAYTGTGCAATAACACAGTGCTTGGAAAAGATTGGGAAATTGTATTTATTTTTACTATTTTCCTCTTTATAGYTCTGTGTTTGTAAGCATCAATATTCAAATTTATATTCATTTAATCACAAAATTAAATTAAATCAGAGGGAAAAATTTCTCTTAAATTATCAGAGGTACTCTGTTACAAGATTGTAGTCTGAGAATTGGGCATTTTGTTCAGAAAGCTGMTGTGGAAGACAAATAATGCTTGGAATACATGTGTAATCATTAGGGATTGGCTGGACCAAAAGGAGATAGAGGGTTACCTGGATTGCCTGGTAGACCTGGTCTTCCTGGAGAAATYGGCCTTCCTGGACCACCAGGGTATGGACCACAAGGAATAAGAGGTTTTAAAGGCTCTAAAGGAATACCTGGACTACCTGGATTACCTGGAGAAGCTGGTTGGTAACTTCCCTATTTTACTGTGTTTTACCTATGTTAAAGAATACTTGTTAAAAATTGCAGAGATAGATTGACATAATTCATGAAACATGGGAAACCTCTCCTTGCCATGGGATTTCCACAGCACTGTGCYAGCTTTAGTCTCTCTGAAGATAATAGGAAAAGTCTTAGGGTCATGAGATAATTGAGGTTGGAAAGGACTCTGTGCAGTCTTTAGTCTGATCTTAGCACAGGGACATTTGTAAGATCAAATTCAAGGCATTATCCAGTCATTCCTTGAAAAGCTCCAGGGATGAAGACAGCACATTATCTCTGGGCAACCTGTTCCAGTGCWTGACTGTCCTCACTGTGGAAACAAAAAGTATTCAAATACGCATCCAGTCATTATCTTTTGTGTAAACCARGTCAGCAGGGTTAAATATAAAGGGCATAATAATTTTTGAGTGCTGGAATCATACCAGTGTAGGTCTTTACAGGCAAGAATAATCTGGAAGAACTCAGCTGAATGGCAGGTATAGTCAAGGCTGCTTAAAGATAATGCCCATTGGGTCTTTATTATATGGAGTTGCAGATTTAAACTTTTCTCAGTTGCATCATTTTCCTGATGACTTTCTGCTTCCTTTTCTGGGTCTTCACTAGACTGCAGGAGGGCTGAGAGGAAGACTGCAGGTGTCAATAAAATGATTTTACTTARTGAACCAGGATGTGAAGGATTTTCAGAGTCTGTTGGAGTTTCAGAAATATGGCAACTGTAGAAGACTATATTTTTAGCCAAGTARATTGATCACTAATAGTTTTAAATGCTTGAGATTACATATTGCCAAACAATATGTCTCAATGATATTTTATTATGTATTTGCTGTAGGCCTGAAAGGAGAGACCAGTAGGGCAGCTCCTTTACCTGCATTGCCAGGACCTCAAGGACCACATGGTTTACCTGGACCCCCAGGAGCACCTGGTGAGTACTGCACTAAATCAGTGAAACAGTTAAAATTGGAGATTGGTTAACTGTAAGGCTTCTTTGCTTGGGTTTTGTTGAACTATAGTCCTTAAAACTGTCCTGAACAGCACAGGAAGTTTTTTGTCAACTTTATGGTAGCTTCTATTCTTATAGTTGCTTCTGTTTCAAGCTTACCCTTGTAATGTGTGTTTGTAACCTCTCAAKAAATGTTAGACTCATGTCTGCATGTAGTTGATCCTAGGAGTCTGGAATTCAGCCAGATTGCAGAAAAACTCAATTCACAGACTCATATGCTTTGGTACTGTGGCATTTTAACTTGAAAACCTGCAGTGGAGGAGAAATTGTCCAAATTCTACTATAATCTACAGTTGTGTCCTAATTAATAATGATAAACTATAACACACCTCATCTTACACATTGATGTTCTGTGGTAAGACAATTCACAGTTCACTTCTTTTTTTGTACAGGTAGGGTTGGAGCAAGAGGTCAGCCAGGTGACCCAGGACATTCAGGACCAACAGGTGACACAGGCTTTCCAGGGCTTGGGTTTCCTGGAAACCCTGGTCCAAAAGGTAATATACTCTTTTTTATTTCCTTTTTTTTTTTTTTTGTTATCAGAGCTGAAATTCCTTGGGCGTTTGTGGAGTCT